AAAATCTAAAAAAAGTCGGTATCGCTCAAAGTATCTCTTTTCCCTAGACAACTCCAATTGCAATTTTTAGTTGCGCTGCTGCATTCGACACCTTTTCGGAAGGTCGAGTGGCCCCTGAATGCATCATCTCATCGCGGTTTGTTTGGCATGTGCCCAACACAGCGGAGAACTGACATACTACTAGCACGTCAACCCCAAACTTCTATTGCAACTGCAGTTATTTTCAAAAAAATGGGATTTCAATACCGTAATGTTATCTCGCGTTGGAGCGAACGGGATGGTTTGCATAATGTTCGGTATACCAAGCAATGGGATCAACATCAGTGCTGCTTTGACGCTTTTCCTGGAAATTTCTTTCGAATGATTCCGAATAGGTAAAATACACCAGAAAAAGATGTCAAGGAAACCTGGATACGTTAAATGAAATCTGATCTCAAAAAACTCACTTCATCTTATCAAGTTCACTTGTACTGTGACTCTCCCGCACCTTTGACCATAACACCCGAATCACATTGCAAATGAAGAAAAGATTCACCTAAAAATCAGTGAATAATCATTTCCTCTGCGCGATCAGGGTTTGCTTGCCACATTCATATGCTGTCTTCTAAAAATTGTTTGTTCATCTGTTTACTGGATACTTACTGTATTATAGTTCCAAAAAATCTTTTAAAATGAAAAATCGATCAGTCCAAGGATGCTGTAGAAGCCCTTTGTCGTTTTCACTACTGAAACGGCAGCACATGATCCGTAATGTTGAAGCGTTTGGCAACATACAAGTAGCCGTTTACCTTCAACTGAGTCGAGGTCAGAGTCAATCATCACCTGTATCACCTGTCGTCCCGTTGATCATCGATTTGCTCGAGCGGGCGCCAGCAACGTCTCCATTCGTCCCTGTCGCGTGCTAGAGTGGTCCAGTGGATCCTCCTCGCTCGAGGGACACGAAGTCCTTCATTCCTTTCGTTCAGAGCTTTCGTGAAGAAGTCTGACCATCGGTCGTCCAGGTGTTCGTTTGACGTCCCGAGGGATCCAGTCGGTAACCGCTCTGGTCCAACGGTCATCGCAAAATCGCATGACGTGTCCGGCCCACCTTATCTTCGATTCCTTGGCGAAAACGGCAGCGTCCCTGATCTTCGATCGTTGGCGTAGTTCCGAACTCCGGATTCCCCTCTGCACTTGCGTGTATAGGGTTACTCCTAGTCCTGCCTGCGCAGAGTCCAAGTCTCTGAGGCGTAGGTTAGGGCAGGAAGGACAGCGGAATCGAAGAGGTGGGCACGGAGCCGGATGTTCTTCGTCTTCTTCACTACTCCCTCGATGTTCTTGTACGCTCCCCAAGCCGCTCGTTTCCTCCTGCTCAGCTCTGGAGCTAGATCGTTCATCATATTGATTTCCCGACCTAGGTACACGTAGCTGGAGCATTCGGTGATGTTCGTTCCGTTGAGCGTGAATCAGGAACCAATCCGTTTCTCATAAACATCGTCTTCGTGAAGTTCAGCTGCAGACCGACCTTGCCACAGGCACACCACGACGTTGGAAATATTCGAAAATTCACGATCTTCCTCTCAGGCAGACTCGATACCATCCCCGTGTATGACGGGTCAGCGGGTCATCCACCCTCCTTGCAGTGCTCCTCCCTCTCCAATGACACCCTCACTTTCATGCTTGTTTCTTTAGCTCACATAGCTCACATTTTATTTTGAGATCAGACGACCCATTCCAACTCCGCCCACCTTTTCCGAAAGTACGAGATTGGGAGTAAGTACGAATACAGAAATTTCCAATTTTTTTCAGGAAGATGCTCTAATTTTGCCTTTTTGATACCTTTTGTGAAAATTTTCGCGAATTCTCAAGAACCCAGTCTACACGACCCGTTTCTTAACCTCCAGCGCAACATGACCCCACAAGTTCCGTCATAGCGACCCTAGAATTACGTGCTTCCTTTCTAGTAAGGTCGAGGAGAAAGAATACGCGAGAGCACGGCGTACAAAACGGCACCGATAAGAGGCCGTTGCACATCGAGCTATAGGGGGGCCACCTAAGGCCATTCGGGAACAATAGCGAGGTTCTAACGCCCTGGTAACGCATTTTCGAGCAGTGTGAAGAACGGAAGTTGAGCTTCCGCCAACAGCGTTACCTTTCTCACCGGAGGGTAGCTGTTGGCACAATGGGATATTCTCTAAGTGTGCCCTCATTTGAAACCAATTTCTGCGAAGAAATTTCTCATGCTGTATGAGCTGAGTTCCGTTGTTCTGGACAATGGGTTGCTGACCTGACTGGCATAGAAAACGTGTGGGTGCTTCAAAACGCTTGGCGCCAGTCAGCAACTGATGAAGACAAAAAGCATCAGCGAAACACATTTTGAGCCGGCTATCGAAATGGGCAAGGAGTGGAATTTCATCGGTCTTCACGATCATGGAGTTTTCCTTGAGGGACAATGAGATTATAACAGTCTTCTTGTTTATACTCACTACTAATTCAGCCATTCGTGGACCATCGAGAATCCAGAATTCGGGCTCCAGATAGTACGACCCCAAACATCTTTCCACCTGAAGCGACATCTGACTAAGCACTTCTCATAATCATTTGCAGAATTCGAATTACCTTGAAGTCTTTCTTTATCAAGACTACAAAGAGCCATATCAAAGTGTGCAGTAGGGGAATACCTGAAAAAATAACGCATGAATGATCTGGTTGTTAGAGAGCAGATTATTTTGTGTCCGCATTGCAATCATTTTGTTACAGCGGATCATCATCGTAGTCGGAGGTGCACGTACTGGGTTGTACACGAAGTTCTTCCGCTTTTGACCCCAATCGTCGACTGCGCATATTTCAACTCACACCATACCCACTTTTAGTTGAAACAATACTCTCATTTTCGCCAATATGAACTGGGCTTGACCAATAAGTGCTCATATTTTTGAAGTCCTGGACACGATGAACTCGTCGAAGAAGTCCCAGCATGGCGTTGTTTCGAAGCTTTTTTCGAATGAGCCACTCACCCGGTTTGGAAAGCGGACCGCTCTCTCTGTCGTGCGCTGTAAGTCAAAAAACACAAAGCTTCAATGCGATATCACGCAGATTCTGGTTATAAAAAAGACTCCAAGAGCGGTGAAGATAGTGGCCCTTCCGAAGCCTTGTATATAGTAGTACGTGACAGCAGGAAATAAACACGGAATCACAAAATGAATGGCAGATAAAGCAATCGGCGTGAGTCCACTCATTTTAGGATGTGCCACATCCTTCCATTCAAGATAGCAGTGGAAATATGGATATAATCTAGCTCATCTAAGGACTTGAGGGGGCACCAATACAGGTCAATCAATTTTTCGCTCAATTCAGCAACGTACGTGATATAAATTTGTAATAAAAGAGAACATCTCTGATGAGCTCCATGTTTATATTTTTCGCGCTTACTATCTATGCAGAATGTAAGCGCTACGGTATTGTGTTCCAACCCAGAACTATGACCAGCATTTACAAAATCAATGTACAATATGTATAAAGGGTATTTCATCGTCACTCTGCATCTGCGAAATAAGAAAAGGCCCGTTGAAGCTATAAACGAGGTGCTCACCGTATCCAGCTAGCAAGTATGGTGTCAGTCGCGGTTCCGAATTGAAAACAGTGAGCACCAGCTGATTGTGTAAATAAAAACCTTCCAAAAACATCCAGCCAAAAGCAACAGTCTTGAAATATTCAAGAAGAAAGTACATGGCCTCGCAGACGAATGGCTGAAACATGAGCATACAGACTATACAAATAGGAGCGTTCGAAGTCTCCACTCTCGTTTTTGATTATCCAATTGCGATATTCACTCCGTTACCCTGAGGAGAGTTGAATTTTCACGAGGTAGCTTGGATCTAAGAGAGTGAGCGTTTCTGAAATCAAAAAGACAAGCCTTGGAGACCGGCATCGACAGGGAGCGCTACTGAGGTTTCTTTGCTTCAGCGGATCGCGAGCAGAAGGCGTGCACAATATCAGGGGTCTTGCTGCCAGGGTCCGTCAAATATTAAAGCAAGAGTAGCAGAAGGAACAGAATAGGAGTACTCATTTGATTACAAATTTTCGCCATTAGTTTTTTTTTCAGTCAAGAAGGTCACCTTTAATTATTTACCGTGCAATCTTGACACGATTTTATGCCGCTGCGGACCGCTATGTGCTTTAGAATTACAGCGTTTTTGTATGATGGCGTGCTGAACAAGAACAGCATGCAAGGGTTTGACTCCTGCTTGCCTCACTCAAGGAGGACTTCGTCATGATCAAAATGACTTGCCGCTCTTCCCCTTGTCGCGTCGCGGCTCTATGAGTTGATGCTTGTTGTGCTAGCAATTACATCAATGAGAATCACGTCCCGAACTGGTACTCTTTTTCTACCTATTGCACCTTTCAAGCTTTTTGGGACAAGTTTTCAAGATTTAAATGGTTGTTGACATTCAACACTGCAGAAGATTTCGGGACAGCACCACCTCAGCAAAACGATATCCCAAACTTCAGTTTCATGTTTCTTATTCGTTCCAAATTTGTCGCATCCCGAAATAGCCACACTAGATGGCCCATATTTAAGACACTCTCCTAGATTCAAACCGCACTACCGGCAAATATACTGTAAAAGTCTCCTGAAAAAAATGTGATTCTATCTTACACCTATAAATTACTGGTTTGATACCTTGTACACTTCCGTTGCAAAAAACTTACGATCATATCACCAAATGTTGGGGTTCTGATGTTCACGAGAAACCTAGTCACAAAAATCGGTCATGTCTGTTGCGATTCGGCGGGCTAAAGCGAAAACCCACAGCGAGAGAATCACAAGCAAAATCGGCCGTGCAAAATCATACGATCAGAGCAGAGATTATTCGAAATTTTTCTCCACTTTAAATTACAAGTTTCTCCTTATGCACTTCCGCCACTCTATTAATACGTATTTAGACTATGCAGTCAACGATTCGGCCGTAGTTGCATAGCACCGTTGAGGGGCCGATATGACATGACTTCTACCATTTTTTGTATGCGTGCACCTGGATTCATGCGTAATCTTCGACTAGCATCTTTTGTAGGAGATGCAAGGAATTGTATCCGATTATTCTAGGAACAAAGACTACAAGCTTGGATGCTTCCATAGGTTTTCATTGGATTTAGACCTCGCTAACAAGTAGACCATGCGAGTAAATCTACATGGTAGGTTAAGGCAAGTAGAAGCGGTTCTGATCCACAGGATGACAGGCCTTATACTTGTCTGAGAAGTTATGCCGTTTTGATACAATGGCTGGTTCGGCAGACGGCTAGTTCGTGCCTATGACTAGCATCTTATCTGAAGTTATCGTTTGAATTCGTGAAGATCCAAATCAATCTTTGCCACCACGAATCCGATAGTTGTTGCTTGTTAATCAGTATCATGGCTCTTTTCGATGAGAAGATGGATTTTCTGCCCAAATCATTTTTATACTAGTGTCATCCATCAGCGCTCGCTAGGAGGAACATTTTTTCACCAGAAAAACTACCTGCAATATCACACACCAAATAAAGCTGTTTGGCCTCTAGGTAATAAGGCACGAAAGTCAATCCGCAGGAGGAAGCTAAAAGGTTTGCCGAGCACGGGTAATGTGCTCTAATATTACCGGCTGCGGTACACGATACATAATCGTCATCATCAGCACACTTCTCAGCAGTACAGCGCTGTCATTCATGTCGGTGAGCCAACTTCGCCTTGCTTTGAAGCCTACCATATGTAGATTTACTCAGATGGTCCACTTGTTAGCGAGGTCTAAATCCAATGAAAAACCTATGGGGCATCCAAGCTCGTAGCCTTTGTTCCTAGAATAATCGGTACAATTCCTTGCATCTCCTACAAAAGATGCTAGTCGAAGATTACGCACGGATCCAGGTGGAGGCATACAAAAATTGGTAGAAAACATGTCAGATCGGCTCCTCAAGGTGCTATGCAGGGCATGGCGAATCCGTGGCCTGCATATCTACAATACAGTACTAATATGACTGTGGAGTGCTAGGGAAAAATTTTACTAAAGTGAAAAAATTGTCAAATTTCTGCTATGTCGTATAGTTTTGCAACGGCCATTTTTTTTCATTTTTTTGACCCTAGATTTCTGGAAGTTGACAGAACTGCTTGGAGATTCTCTGTTGTAGGTTTCTTTACACGCCGAATCGAATGGCATTACCCATTTTTGTGCTAGTTTCTCGTAACTTCAGAAACCCAAAATTTGGGGTATGTCGTATAGTTTTGCAACGGAGTGTAGTTCACAGCAGAGTCAACCGTGTGTTGCGCAGTTCTCAACGGCACGTTGAGGCCGATGTCATAGTTTGCGTTGCGCAAACTCGACAACGGCGAGAGATCCTCAACGCACGCTGTATGGGCGGAGACGCAGACGGCTCGAGCATGCGAGTGTGAATGTTCGCGCGAGAGAACGTGTCTAATCGGGCGAAACTGCGCAACGTGGCCGTTGAGAACTGCGCAACGCAGGGTTGACTCTGGTTCACAGTAGAACGAAAAGAACAGAAATTGGTTTTGTTTGGTAAATAATTCGAAAAACCGGAAGGACTGTTACGCGTTCAAATTCCCGCCGGACATCTGTCACAAATGCTGGCGGCGGGAACGCTTCCACTTGGTTCACGGAGTGCTGTCACTAGAAACTCTTTTTGACCTTTTGACTTATTGCACTGAAGTCTCACACTTCTACACATCATATTCTATTGATCGAATTGCTTTCCAAAATCTAACGCTTTAACCCGATTCCTTCCATATGAGACCACTGGTTATGCACGACCTATTTACCTTCGACCGTCCATAGAGTGCGTTTTCTTAAGTTTATTGTTCTTCGGTAACTGAATGTTCGTGCATGAACTTCGTATGTTCTCTTTAGTGACCACAGCTGACATATTCAATTAGGAGGGAAAGAATTTTTCAGGAAGGATTCCTTTAATGAGGTCGTTTCAATGCACAAACACATCGATCTCTGCACGGCTCAGGAGCAAAAAGTGCGAACAACGAAGAGCAGATGCTAAACAGTGAATATTGCTGACCGTGCAAGATTTCGATTCTGATGGAAGAAGTAAGGCTTCCAGCCATCGCATTTACTGTTTATCAACTATACATATTTCCTCTAAATTGTGCCATAGCACCTGCAATGCACTCACCATAGTGTTTATGGTTTTCCCATCCGATGGACTTTGGTGTGGGCCATGGCTTCCAGTAAAAATCAGGTCAATGTATAGAACAAGGCGAATAATGACCACCATAAGTATAGCAATCATCAAATGTAAGTGCAGCATATTACGAAAGACCCGGAGACGTCTAAAAGGTAAATAAGGTTGTTTTCTCTATAAAAGTACACTTCATATTTCTACCTTACATCCATTGAAATGCTAGGAAATGTTTACACACATCTGAGGGAAACTAGGGACGTAAACTCACCGGAAGTACGAGAATATTCCGATCGAAACAATAAGGCTGACTAAGGACAACCCCAACCCGACAAATTCGAGTTTCCGGGCGTTCCTGGCGACCTCTTGTGCAATCTGTAAAATCGTTACAAATGGAGAACAAATGATCGGCTTGTCGGTACAGGTGGCGAAACAACATGGACACCATGCATGGACCAGCAAAGCTTCGTAGTTATGGCGAAAGCACTTGTCGCTGAATTATGCGTTCACTGGTCAGGATCCATGATGCCGTGTCTCGCTCCCGACCGACAACTCAAAAAGGAGTGAAGCGCAACAGCCACGCAGAGCTTGGGGTGAGCGCATGGGACAACATGCAGGACAGGTATGTGAGTGGTTGCGGAGATACTGGCACATTCAGTGGCGATCAGAGTTACAGACAGACGTCATGGGAAAATGCGAGATTCGGCGTAGGGGACATTCGTGAAACCACTCATGCTGACAAAAACAAATGTATTGCACGAAGAAAGCTTCGAAAAGACTTGGATATGCTGAGTGACTCGGAATTGTATGCAAAATACTTCAGACATTGCGCAGATCCAAGTCATTATTCACGTACACGTGAAGGTCTGTCGCGTCCATCATTTGAATGCTTTTCCTCTGAACTCAAATCCAAAATGGAAACAGCATAGCTTTTGTGGAGCTAGAACAACTGATTCCACACATGACCACGTTTTCATTCAATCAAAAATTCGAGATTCTCTCTTCGAAAACTACTGAAGAACGGTAGGGGACGAGAAACTGAAGCGAAAGTTGTTGTAATGTTTCTATGTAGAACAAAATAAATATTCGGCAATTTGCGGAGCAATTCGCTTATTAATGTTGGAATGTTTTTGTCAAATGAATCCTCATCTCCTGCCTAACACAATGTTCGGACGGCATTTGAAATACGAGTGTATTTCTTGGAGAGGAAATTGATTACGAACTGGTCCGAATCACTAACGCTCTCAAAAGCTCCTCGTATGACATTTTCTCCAAGATACAAAGCATGATAAACGTTATCGACCACGTTTTCGTTTCCCAAAACGTGAGTATCTTGGTCATCGTAGGTCTATCTAAAGGCTCCTACAATTTTTCTGCCTTTTAGGTCCAAATGGAACAAAAACAAGTGAGATAGATGGCCGCCAAAGCGTTATTGGTACTTATGGTTAGAGCCAAAGTTAAAGATGAGAAGTCTCCCTCGTACTCACGTTTTATTGACGACGCTTCGAGCATAAGCCCTTCTTTATTCCAACTATAATAATTACAGATTACAAAGTACACCACCCCTACAGCATTAAAGAGTAGCAGTGATCTACAGGATATCTAATTTGTTGGACGAGGAAGAAAGGATGCCGAATCTCAAGCAGACCTTGGCAAAAATGGTAGCTAGAGTTCTGCGGGCTACAAATGGGCGCAAGAACAGAGAGCAGTCAATGCCTTGTCACGTGTTTCTTTTGAGGCACAACCCCGCTGGTTCTACACTATTGCTGCTAGTCTGCTGAAAAGGTGCATGGGCCCGAGTGGAGAGGATACGAAGTGTTGCTGGAACAAAAAGCGTCCATGAAAAGACGCAACAAGACGTTGGATAAGCGTCAACTCTGGTACATAGGTCCACCTTTTATTCCACACCCTCCCTTTCCCCCCACTGTTAGCCGGGATGTTTCGCCGACGTAAAATTCATCAGGAGTAAAGCAAATCACCTTGTACACCACAATTCTCTTTATACACCCCATGTTTACTAAAGTGGTGATGTTGCAAGCATGCACAGTTTGGAGTGGGCGAAAAATCGGGCTTGTTGGAAGCCGTGATCGTTCAAACCTAAGGAGGACACAAACCCGAAACGTTTCCAACAGGACTGAGTACGAGGAGGTATTCCTCATCCTTACCTTTTGCAACAAAAAATCACACTACGAATATTTTGGAACTTTTCGATTGCTGCACAGTTCATAAGTGAGAGGAAAACTTGGGTTTTACATGGCCGCTACTACCCCACAAATGACTGTTTTTGAATAATGTTTGGAGATTTACTAACAAGAAGTGCAAAATGGTAATTGGCTCAACCGTAGTCAGAAGGGCATCATGGAGCAGAACGCCAAGGGCATTTGAAACGAAAGCATTTCAATAAGCATTTTCTTCCTTTATAGAAGTTCAGAAGAAAATAATGTCCACGTAGATCTCTTCTCGAATAACGAAATCGGTTCATCCGCTTGGAGTAGCTACTATATAACAATAGGGATTACTTTACGCTGCGAACTACGTACCACGATGCCGCCTGTCCCTCCTTCGCCAATTATTCCAGTGTCTGGTAATTTTGCCCCATAAGAGATGTTACGTTCCTGCACACGCACAGCGCATGTTAATAATAGAATCTTAAGCTCACCCCTCAGATCAAAATGGATTGATCAAGTCACCCAAGTCTCCTTTTTTACGAGGTAAGAGTTGGAATTTGTAGACTTCAGTCAGCGATAATCAAGAGTTGGGATCTGTCTGGCTCTTCGTCACAATGCATCAAGTGAATGGAGAGGGTTAATGTTAATGTGTATGGGTGCAGGGGAAAGAGAGAAAGTGAGAAATAGTTACCATGCGTTGTTGGGCTCAGTTCAGGCGTGAATGTGAGGATGAGTGGTCCTTTTGACATCACAACGTTTTTATCAGTGGTAAAATATCGCGAGTGAAGACAGAGAGGAATAAAAATCAAAGAGATGACCATGCACCATTTTGAATGGGGGTTGCTTCCTTCAGAGAAGTCACTAAGACACACCAAATTGTTAATGTGTTGGTAGAAGCGCATGACCACGAAGTGGATATTTTCGGCAGCAAGCCCGTAGCGTGACGAGGAGGCAGAGGTGCGGACAAGTTCGCGGACGAGTCACAGCGCGAATTGTACGACGATGGACGTACATTCCATTTGACCTGACGCTAAATCGTTTCAATACGCGTTGCGCTCGTCCACTGACCCGTCTGATCTCTGCCTTTCCCTCGCGCGACGGGGCTTCCATCGGGTACCCGATCCTTCTATCACCACTATGACTCTACAGCCATTCCACTGAACACTAGGGTATCTTTTTGCAGAAAACAGCCTTGATCAGACTGGGGCACTTCGAACATTCAAGACTCATTCAGCGGAACCGCTATTGGGTATTTTAGGCTCGTATCGCACATTCTCCCATTGATTGGCCTAGAAATCTACTAGCTTGCTTCGAGATACAAAAAGTGAAAGAGAAGTCAACACTGTCAGCTTTGACTTCTCCCTCTGAATCATCTTGAAGCTGGCTGAACACTGAACGGCGGGTAGGATTTTGAAAACAGAAATGATAGAAGTCGAGGTCGATTCAGGCTCGAGATAATGAAGCGGTGAAAGGAGGAGAAACAGAGACCAAGTGCCTCTAGCTTCGACTTTTGGCAAAAGTCTCAGGACATTAGTCAACGGAATAGAGCTGGAGGAGAGGCCTTGTTGATTTTGAGTGAATTCCTATGGATGCTTGCGTAAAACTCTTCGCTTTGATTTCAAATATCATTTGACCCTTCCGCAAAGGCCCATCTAAAAAACAACTACGTCAGAGCGGCAAGTACAGCGCTCCTTGTCGTTTTTCCTCCCAAATAATCAGAAAATAAGGCAGGTTATTAGACATGCACACACACAGACACTGGGCTATTCAGAGTCTAACCCCTAGCGATTCGTTGTTGAGGTTATTCATGATGTAGATCACTTCATCCGTATAGCACATGGTGAAATTTGTCCAGCCGTGATCTCTGGCAAAGTCGTTCTCGGTGCGTCCTTGCCAATTTCCAGTCCAATGGCATTTCTTCGTGATATTTCCTATAAGCGTACACACCAGAAATCTTTATATGACCTGATCTTAACGCTCTCAATTGCAAAACTGCAGTGAGTGAATGCGTCATCCAACCGCCCACTGCTTCTAAACTTCAGAATTTATCGGTAGAAAAGGGACACAAGACAGCCCAGACACATCATTCAACACCTAGGTCAAACTTGAATCTCCCCATTTTTCAACAAGGTTGACAAAAGTATCCCACCCAGACTGTTTCCGAACTACTGTAGTGATTACTGAATTCATTCGGGCATTTGTAAAATGATGTCTTTCGCATAATGGATGAATAAACCAAGTTAGAAGCAAGGTAGAGCGACGTGAAACGATGAGCAAAAGAGCTATGCAAAGAAAGCAAGAACCGAAAACACGAAAAACTTGCATGCTGTAAAGACGACAGATTTACTGCGGCGGCATGCGGTGGTACGACACAGTGAGCAAGCAAGTGCGAGGCGCGAATCGAGCAAGAAATGTGGTGGCCGAGCAGCAGTTGCGGGTGCCTGGCGTTGTGCTGCACTTATTAGACAGCCTACTTTCACGTTCTCGAAGTCCATCTTAAAGCAAACGGTGAAATTCGTCCAACCCCACGGATTCTCGTACACGCCTTCCGACTTTCCAGCCCATCGACCATATCGGTCGCACGACTTTACTACGTGACCTGAAACCGCTATCAAGGAAATTCGAATGCATCATGCACCTACACGCGCGAACGGCATTCTGCCGCGCAGACGACGGAAAACTGATTCATCAGATTAAAATCGAGATCATCAAGTCATGCCGTGGCAGAACACCGAGTGCGCCCTCTTTATGTCAACCATGAAATTGGTTAGGTAAAAAAGACTCGCGTCAAAAAACTAAGCAATCTGTCTCTCTTCTTTGAACTTCAAAAATTCAAGCCAAGCACGGTTTGACAGATGGCTAAGGAAGCGTAAAGACGTATTGCATTGAAAAAATCAACCAAAATATTGTTATGGACGTGAAACCAATGGCAGGAAAATTTGCTCGCAGCATTGGACAAAGCTTAACTTCATTTTTTGCTCTTCTTTTCTGGAAATCCGAAATGCATCCCCCAGTAACTACACACGTGCCGTGATAAGCCGGCTCCACTGCCCCATGGTGACCGAGTTTCGTCCTACACCGTTGCTACCAATCTGTTTTTCAGCTACATTTACTGTCGTGCCCTGGAGTGTTCACCGTGCTGGTACGTAAAAACGACTGCACAAAATGACAGCGACGACCCAAGCTCACCTACACGGCGGTCAAAAATCTACGAATGGCTTTAGTCTGCCCACGTGCACGGATATTTCTACGCATCTATCATGTGTTGTAGTACTCGGATGGTAATTCGGTACGCCGTTCCGTTGACAGTGAAGGAGCTCATTGAAATAGCGCACGTTCGGGTCAGTTTCACTCTTATTTGCGCGTCCGTGCTCATGGCTGAAGGGAATATGAATCGAGTACACGCCCCGTTCTTCATTTCACATTCCTGCACTGGCATTTCACTGAACATCAGATATAAGAACTGCGTTTCGCGCAAATTCCACCGCCATAGCGAATCCAACATTCTCGATTGTTAGGGTTATTGAAAATCACGAGTGAGCGCAGCCATCGTTAGCATCGTTATGGTATATGTCTTATAAGGGGAACTCGAAAACATCATGTATGGAATGTAAAGAGGTAGCCCCCTCCTTTTTCCGTAGCACTGTTGCCACAGTAGGTATTAATGGCTTTACCTGATTACTGGAAGCAACAGAACAAATTTATCAAAAGTTCTAATTTTCCCAACAAGCGCAGTCAGCAATGCAAAACTGAGATGTGTGTAGAATTATTATGTTAGTGCATAAGTCTTGCAACACTTTCGCAATATCCAAGCATCGCGCTGCTATTGAATTTTACAGAGAATTGCTTATTAAAGCACTGCACAAGGTTCAGTAACAGGTGATGTGCGCTTTCGACACCGATATTTGAAAATGGAAAACTTTTTACAACTATTAAAGTCCATTCAATGTGACACTCACCACAGTATTTTGCAACAGTTCCATCCTATGCGCAGATAAGTTGTTACCTCTTTTTCAAAACTGTGTAGTCTTTAAGGCAAGGAATGATGGGAGCTCCGCTTTGCGGTGTTTGCGGTTGATGTGACTCTCCTTCTTCAGAAATGAGTAGAGGAGCGGAACAAGTGATACTCGATTCTTACGACTGCAGCAAGTCTTCGTAGCTGCACGCAGTAGACGTCTGTTCCAGTGGTGATGTCATCTTTCAAGGTGTTCAGTGAGGGATTCAACGAGTGGAGAACAAAGCCTGTTTTGGGTATGATCGCTCTCACAAGCTCTCTTTGACTTGCAAGCGGTATTAAACCAGTGGATCCGTGCATTCGGCTTACGCAAATACGCTTTTCTGATGTCCGGTGACGTCTTGTAGAAGCAACCGCAACGGGTTTGTCCGGAAATTACCCGTGTTCTCACCCAGTCCTTGTCGAATGCGTTGTCCCAACGTGTGTCATTTCCCTCAGAATAGAGGTAGCTTGGAAGAGGTGCAGGCAGTCTGGGCATTGTTTGCCTACTGCGAGTCTGAGTCTGCTACCAAAGTAGAGCCTTCAAGATGCACCTCGTGTCCCACCAATTGACTTGCTTGCTCTTGAAAACTGCAGTTGCCGTCAAGAAATTTCTGGAACCAAACATAAGACTCGACAGATTCTATTTACTACAGCCGGTCCTTCAGTGCTATACCTTTGAGGTCGGACCTTTTTCAGGAGTCTTAGAAGCAATGCAGGTGGGATCTAAGCTTTCTGTCGAGAACTGAAGTCTGCGACTCCTCTATTTTTTGGCTTAGTACGTAGGCTTATGGTAATCGCAGTGTGCGCGCGCTCTCCACAACAGATGATACAAGGCACAAAAATATTAGCGAAATTCAATAATGTTAATGTTGGTAGAAATTGCTAATTTGGGTGCTACTGGTTCCCAGCCGTCCTTCTCAACTTCCAGAGGTTTTCATGCAGTTGTCACAATAAGATGCCCACAAGAAGGTACGGTGCGGGCGATGGGAAAAATGTGTTAGTAGTTTTGACAGCGTATTACCATCCCAATAGTACTGCTCTCTCCCGAGGATTTTTCAAAAATGTTTTAAGTAACGGAGCACGAGTAAATCGACGGCTTGGACGTCGATCTTGACTCCAATGTGAGGATGATGTCAGTGTTGAGAAATGCTGAGATCCAGCGGAACTCTAGCAATTTTCGTGCAATCATTGTATAACGAGCTCGACGACGAAGAGGTCGACCCCTTATGGACATACATATCAGAGGGACGTGGTCGCGAAACATCGCATGCTAAAGCTATGGAACTCCATGATGAGTCCTTCGGCGTCAGCGGAGTTCCTGAAGACTGTGAGAACTGGTGTGGAATGTACATTCAAGATGCTGTATGTGTTGCAAGACTTATCTGTCAACCAAGTAATGAATTCGCTGCACTAGATTGTACAAAGCACAAAAATGATAGCAAAAACAAATTATGTTGGTTATGTTGGAGTTATTTGGGAACACTCCGAACTGACAATAATCCTCAATATGAGGAAAAACTTGTGTACGGTTTCTTTTGAGAACACGCAGCACAAACTGACGTGAACAAACTTCACGCAGTCTTACAAGGACCAGCGCTCATGTCGTACGCGATATGCGAGAGATTCGCGCAAGATCTGCACACATCCAGTATAGAATGACTGCGCTTGCTGTATGTGGGATGTGAAAAACGGCGGTCTTTCGACAAATTTTCCTTCAACAAAGCGAGACAACCCATCCAACTGAAATTTGAAGAGAAGAAGATGCGTTTTCCGTGGGTTTACGTACACGTGGAAACTAAACAACTAACATCAATACTAGAAACCGAATTGATAACATTCAAAAAAGTGTCCACAATGAAACTGTTCTCAAGAGGAGTGCGAAAATTGAGGTCTCCCTCTATAAAGAGCGACGACTCAATTTTGTACGACACATGACTCAAGATTTGAGTACTGGGCAAAGTTTGGGACCCGAAGGGTCTATTTACGGGGATACTATGGGATCGCGTCGATAGGTAGCGTTATGGGAAATGTGAGCTTGATCATTGACTGAAGTCAGACCACAAAAAACATGTGTCCACTTTTCTGTTCCAATGAATGGCTATGTGGTTGTATGCATGCCCTCCCAGGTTACTGTTACTGGTCTACTTGCCGACGAAGTGGAGCCAACTGTTGAATTTATCCACTGCGGATCAACAAAGAAATCCTTATCAAGGCAGACCTTAATGAGTTCTTTGGGAACATTCCAAAATCCCAACATTCCTCAATACTAAGAAAACTTGTGAACGGCTTCTTTCGTGAACACTGAATTTGAAAAAAAAAACATAAAAGACTGGTAAAATTTACATTCTACCACTGAAATTGTGGAAAAGGTGCAATATAGGCACAAACCCAATTGGAACTGATTGAATCATGACTGAACCAAATTTGTCAATTCGATGTTAAGGACTTACGGGTTGGATCAAGTCCCTTGAGCGGAGGACACGGTAGCACGATGCTTGTGTTTGCTGGCGTCGGCGGCCAACAAAGAACCGTATCATATGTGGCATTACACCACAAACTACCGTCGGCTGAAATTCGAAATAAGGAACTCGAGAACATGACCGCCTGATTCATCCAGGAACATCTCTATTTACTTTCAGAACTGCTCACACTGGAAGCATTCAAAGAGGAGATATCTTGTCATTCGTATTACTTTGTGTTCACCGCTAAGATATTAATCTTGTTGGGATCATTTGTGATAATGAAAAGAAATCGAGGCGCATGTGCAACGCGCTCATCAGTTCCTTGACCCTTTGACGGCAATGCGGATTTGCACGTAGCGTGCTCGTGGGACCACGCCTCTTTTTGGCGCGCCCAACTCTCGCACAAAATGGGGCAAAATTGTCCCTAAAAGCAGTTTTTCTATCAAAATTTTGACTTTGACAATATACAAAATATGACTGCAGCCTTAAGCTTCGGATAAGAAGTGGAAGAATTCGGATCAAAGGGATGGTGGAAAGAACTTTAGAAGTACATAAGTACATATGTACAGTAGAATTTTTGATATAGTTCAAACTCCTCCTTGTGTCTTAAGACTATGAAAAGACGTAGAGGTCCTGATCTGTAATTCACCTTAAGCTTAATAATGTAAAACACTAGTTAATATGTCGCCGAGCGAAGTGCCATATCCTAAAATTTCATATAAATTAGCTAGTAACAAACATTTCTGCAAAATATGCTAAACATAGGCGTAACGGAGCTTGCTTATAATTACTGATATGTTGAAAATGTTTTAAATGGGTAAAGAAGAAAATTTTAGGGTGGCACCCACCTGTGGGTGCCATTGTCGCCAAACGGTTAAAGACAGGGATCACGATGACTAGAGCGCGTAGCGGTTTCGGTGACGTCATTGAGGGCCAGCGTTAAGAGGTGCCCAACCACAGCTTCAGTGAGCTGAGGGGTCTCAACAATTACGTTCAATAAATGGGTTGGAACATAAGGTTTTTTCTTCAAGAATCAATTCAGTCATGCAAGCATTTCCCAAAAAAAACCGCATACCATTTGAAAGCCCTTTTCCGCTCTAAAAATTATTGTTATTTTCTCCAGTGTGTGAACGAACTCAGATAGAGCGCCTTGTAGTTGAACGATCAAGGCGGCAGAAATCGGCGAATTCGATAGCTGCTGTCTTTTAATTTACATAAACACAGAAACTTTCAAAAAAGGAGTTTTCAAAATCCGTCATTCCAATCGAAATTCACTCCAATCGGTCATCCCTTTTCACTCAATTCAAAACCGTATTCGTAACAAGATGAGAATAACGAGGTCTTCAAAAGATGACCTCATAATCCTAATTCACTCTGAATTCACTTTGAAATTAACTTTGAAAAAAAAAAAAAAACTTCGAAATGGCTCTTCGAAGTTCCAAATGATCAAACCAAGGATCACTGATTAAATTTATCATTTCATTTTTCGATTCAAACGTTTGCGTCGAATATAAGCGCCACGGTATTATATTCCAACGCAATATGTCACCAAAATATCGCCGTATCGCCCTACTCTACTCTTCGTGATCACTGTATCATCTTCTCAATACTGTAAAGTAAAGACGAGCAAATCAACCAAGACCTACGTATGTCTCGACGAAATAAAAAGAAAGTTCACGTACTTGGCTCCGGCACGGGTGGGATACCCTGATCACGTAACATTTGGAAACATGCCTGAAAATAGCAAAATCAGTGAAAGCGATGGTTTAGGTCGCGGTGATAGGAGCAGCGCTCTGTATTCTAAGAAGAAACTGAACATCTGAAACACAACAACAGCTGAACACAAAGTCAATCGCCGTCCCAGTGGCAGAGGTCGAACGCATTGAAAAGAGGTTGCCACTAAGGTCGGGCATTGAAGAAGTGGAAAGATACCCAGTCGAAAGGCAAGCGGCTACCCGAATGTGTGGGACGCATCGCGCGAAAGGACCGATAGTTAGATCAACGGGACTGAACTAAACATTCAGGGACCTCCAGAATCTTGAATCGCGTACGACGACGGTGAAGGAGTTACCTCGTTTTGGTCATCCGTGAGTGAAGCTAGCCGTCAATGGTGTTCGAAATACTTGGCATGGCTGGCAAGAAGATAGCAGAACGACTCAGCAGGGAAATCTACAAAACCGTCGTCTTACAGCCATTTACAAAGCAAGGTGATGCCCCGTGATTAAAGCAACAGTCCAGGAACGAATTTGCGGGCCAAAAGCACCTATATGGAAGTTGTAGGTGAAAAGTGGTCGAACGTAAAGAGAAAAAGTGAAGAAAACGCCCAACTGGGGCTTAGACAGGGACATGCCCTGCCGTTTAGGGAGACGTGTGTTGGACGAGTTGTCCGAACCTGCCCGTAGTACATGCGCTCCAATTGCAACTGCTGGCAAATAGCTGCATGCTTGCAAATACATAACTATTTGCCAGCAATCGAAATTGAAGCGCTTCAATTGCGTTCTTATGGAATCGACCTCATACAGCGCGGCGGTCCCGCAACGACCGCTAGTCGAGCAAGCGCTCTGCACAGCGTATGTTGGGCGATCCGCCTCTTTATGGGTGATCCGCCCCCTCCAAGAGGACTTCGACCCCTTCCAGCGCATTTTAGAGGTAGGTTTTGAAATTAAAGACATTTCCTATAAACTTTAGTTGGGCTGGGGCATGTTTTGACCGCCTAATGACCAAGTAGTTGAAACCCTGCCTGGACTGTTGCTTTAAGAAGTTGAGGCCTGTTCATGGAGATTCAGGAAACAATAAAATGTTCGCTGACGCCAGCGTTCATGTGATTGACCGTTTGCTGACATAGTTATAAGAAGCGCTGGGGTGTTGGCCACATTCGCGTTATAAAACTGTACGGTCATTTACTTCGTGCAATTGACGCCATCCGCAAGATCAGCCTACTATACTTTAACACCTGGAGTGCGGCCAGAAGGACATTCAAAGCAGCACTAGTTCGATATGTTGTTTTAGAACTGGGAATGGGGGCTTTCATCCCGATGATGCACCCACTCGAGAAAACTGGCGTTGATATATCAAAAAAGCGGACCCCGCTACCACTTGGGAAAACGTCAAAGAATAAGAAGAAGAGCAATAAGTAGTTGCGTGCGGCAAAAGTTGATGGGACGGGAATGACTTGATTTGATTTCAAAAATTGATAGGTGAAAAAAGGATCATCAAGCCACTACGATACCGTTTACGGAATACCTGCTCGTAATGCCAAGTAAAATGATACTCAGGAGAGAGTAGCAGTTCCCGGTAATATACGAGGTGGGGCAAAATTACTGGTGAACCTATATATTTTGATTTTTTGAAAGCATTCTGCAGACCTTCTCGCCCCACTTTCTCATGATATGCTGCATGAACATGCTGCTCATAATTCCCACTGATTATAAGAACATTCTGCTTTTCGAATTGCAACTATCAAGCTCCAACCAAGTCGTACGCTGACGCGTTCTCGTCGATTTCTCAAATTTTTAAGGAATGTATACAGGGGTGGCCAAAAAAACACTTCACTCCACATTTCAGACAGCATTAATCACACTTTGCTAGAATCAAATCGACTGCCCCCAACTCAGTATTGAAGAGCACATTCTAATCTATCTAAAAGTTACATGACAGCCTTCTACACCGACGACATCAGAAGATTTTCCCACGGAAACATGGTTCACGGTACGAGCTCAACGAGGTCGAGGTACCATAGACCATTACGACGTCCCTGAAACGCTGGTCAAAAGCGGTCTTGCATAGTCACAGCTAGTGTCTCTGGGAAGCTATTCACAGTTAATCCATTGAAGAAATTATGTAGCAGCTTCAGGCCGGAGCGATTACGGTAAGCCTCGTTGAGCTCGACGGTGACGGCAGATGACGTCATATTCTGAAGACGGCGGGGGCAGTGAAGGAGGGCCTGCTTCTGCTTACGGGGGAACACCTAAGGAATATTTGCCGTAAAACTTTCATTAACATCGGCTCCCTGTGCGACGAAAAGTTCGATGATGTGCGCCATGGGCAAAGTGTCTCTTTTTTTGGGCCACAATGTATATGTGAAAAGCCGGCTCTTGCGCCAAACAGTTATGGTGATGAAGAAATGAGGGAATCCGCAGACCCTCAGGCTTTCTTGCCGCAAATCTGCAGCACTTCCGCAAACTGACGTATGTATGCTGACGAATGAAGGTAATAAATCAAATGACACCCGCATATCCTAATAGATACAGTATGCGTACCAGCAAAACTAACAGTAGTAGCACAGACATCTGTACGTGAGTTATCGGTTAAGAGTGGGCGTCCCTGACCGCGAGCACAAAAAAAGCAAAGAAATAGAACAAATGAGTGCAAATTCTCAAAAAAAACAGGTGCAGAAAATATGGGTTGAAAAACTCACATCCATCGTAACAGCGACGTTCCCGTTAGGCAGTGTGTAGTTCCAGGGGACGCGCGGCGCGTCCATGTCGGGCCTGAATTTAGGAGCAATAGCGTAGAAACACGAGGAGCTCGAGATATGTCAACAATCAAAATAGCAATATGCATTCATATAACACTTTTGAATTGATTTCGATTGAACACACAGTTCCCATTGAGAAATGGACAAAATAACTCTGTGGAACTGAAGTCATTTTTGAGAAGTTTTGCCAACTGTTCTTCTCCTTACATAGCATTTCTGTGTCAGAGTGGTGCCTCTGCAACAGAGTAAACGTCCGTTGGTCTGGTATGTTCAATGAGGAGGGTGTATATGGTCGAACGAAGGGGCAGGTATGCACGGTAAGCATCGTAATCCCTGGTGATTTTCACGTTTGGATGTAGATGCGAAAGGTTAGCGCTATAAGACACTTAGATGTGAAAAAAGTCACCGTCTGAAACCGAACTGGACTGACTGCGAAAGGTTGGACCATGATTTGTGTTTGGTGCTCCAGGCTTGGGATTACAATGCACCGATTAAAAAGAGAACGGTTCGCATCGCGACTGTATGTAGGTGAGGGGTATAATTCTCAAGAGCATTCCCAACTCTTGACGACAAACAGTGCATGGCACATCTCAGGTTACTGCAAGATGGCCCATATCTAATTATTCATAAGCAGGAGTACTGCTTTTTTGGAAAAACGGTGGTTACAAATCGAGTAAGGGTGTGAGCAACCATACGGGCGGATTGATTTTCCAGGGCATGAAAGAAAATCATGAAGAAAGAAACACGTAGTTCATTATGTCTGTGGTTTTGCATAAAATCAATTCCGGATAGAGTTGCAATCATTAGCAGGTTGAAAAGTCGCGCTTTCATAGAAGAACTGGAAAAATCCATAGTGAACAAAGCTGACCCAGAAAGAAAGTGTTAATTTCTGATCAGCTTTAGCGCTGCTTATAAATCTCGTAGTCTATACATATAGCTATATATAGCTGCAGAAGTGCCTATAGTTGAATTTGTAGGAAGGTAAAACAGCACAAAACCCTGCAAACCCGCACGTTTTCACGATCGGACAAGCAACACGACCTTTTTGAGCTTCATTACTCAAAGCAGCTTTCGCACTCATTAGAACGCTCCAGTGTAGCAGTTTTTTCGCGAATGAAAGAATTCAAGAGATGTTTTCCGAGATGACTACGGTTACTTGAAATAAAAAACAGTATTCACAAAAAGACGCACCAACTGGACGATTTTCACACCTGAAACAAAAAAGGAAAATAAGCTGGTCGAAGTGTTAGCAGCAGTGATAGCGCCAATACAATGAGTATTAGATAATTTTTCTATCCGTGAATATTTGTTAGATACTTCTATTTGAACGGCGATCTGGAGATTGGCCTTCCATCAATCTCAACTTCTTTCCGTTTTCTAGATCTACATAACGAATGGAAAAAAACAACTACTAACAGCAGGCATCGAACAGCACGTGGTCACTTCAGCACCAATTTAGAAGCTCGTTTTTCAGAATGATCAGTAAAGAATAAGTGCTGTCAAAACACATATCGCTGTTGTTTACATTTTAGAATCTTAATCTACGGCTACGGCGACCGACCTGACTGTAGTTAGACGGCAATTTTATGGCACTCAAAGTGTGTGGCAAAGTATAAATTACGCGCCAGGCGCGATATCGCAACAACAAAGGTGAATCGTTCACAAATGGCACCAGTTAGTTAGTGCAACAATTCTGAATTGACGCAGAGATACCATTATCTGCGCCGTTCTATTTTTGACTCGATCTCAATTTTACCGTAATATAACCTCTCCCTCAGTCAGGGGTAGATCGGGGCCAGGGGTTTGGGTGAGTTTGAGTGGGAGTCATGTAGGAAATAAGTTGAGTTGAAAGTGAAGCCACGTTGGGGAAGTTAATTTTAAGCAGGGTCGAATGTGGGACCGCAATCTGTCCCTCAGCGCTAGTCAAAGATACTGCCCCAGCTGCATGCCCAATTTGGACATTTCGCACTATTGGGCGAGCGTTGTGGTCTTTTCTGCTACGCAGCCCTGCCCATCTCAAAGGATGACAGCTCAGACCGCCATTGTTGGAAAAATGTAAAACAATGTATGCCATTCAGATGCACAGGCAGTTCCAAACGTGAACAGTTCTATACTAGAATCTACAAGTTGCCCTGAACTACCCTGATTGGTCTTCCGAAACACAAGTTGCCCTGAACTACCCTGATTGGTCTTCCAAAACACATCTTGTCAATTGCTCTTTTGAATTCGATGAC